GTTAAAATGTCAATTCTGAGCAAATTAAAAGTAGCTAGCAATGAATAACATACAAATGCATGCAAAAGCAATTTAATTTAAACATATTAGTGGATGGTGGGTACACAAATTAGAAACGAGCTTCACTTTGCATACAAAAATTAAAAAAAAATACTTATCTTTATCAGAACATATTGTATTTGTAAAATATGACATTTTGGCTTGACTATGGCACTGAATTCATAGAAACATTTCCTTCATGTGATACGTTATAATGCTCTATTTTCAAAAGGCTGAAAAATACTCGATATTTATGTTTTTAGCAAAATAATATAGTGTATTACTAATGTTACTAATATTTAATCTGGATCTAATAACTTACATTAATAATCAAAAAGGCAATTCCATATACAACAGTTCACCTGTATACATGTGAAAAGGGGGAATTTTCTAGTAGTATTCAGGTCAGATAAGGTTGATGAAGCTGTCAATGGATATAAAAAACTATTATTTTAGAGGGTTTCTTAACAACTACCTAAAAACAAGTCCATCAGGTTCTTCTGTGAGGATCATAATTGGATAAATAAGAACTGTGAATTGCAATCCTAGCAACTGATACATGTTAAAAATTAAACTCATTCATTTCGTAACTCTGTTGAAAAAGGATAGCTCCATTCAAGTCAAAGGGCCCATCCCTGGAACACTGGATTAAAAATTTCTTATCTGTTATTATCACATGGATAAATGCTACAAATATGTGGATATCTCATTTTTACTGAAGGAAATGACTAGCAGTAGAGTCATTCCTTACTTTTAGATTAAATTCTAATCACGATTGTGTCTCCATGCAGACAGGCTCTGTTTGAGTCTTCTCACAAAGACTTCTGCTTTCAATTTATGGACAGAATTAGATTTAAGATACAAAATGCTTTCTTTATGAGCTATTTGTTACCAAACGTATATACAGTATGTCTTGTCTTCTCTTAGCGCTCTGGACATGAAAGCCTCTTGCAGTGCTTATTCTTAGATCTAATCTCTACTTAGGGACATGGGTCCTCTGTGACATCTTTCTAGAGTTTGGGGTGTTATTTCCCCACCGTGTATTGTGTATTCATAATCACCACCAGCCCCCATCTGCCTTCCTGTGAAATTTGAATACCACCAATATATCATACATCTCTATGTACCTATACTTTATATCTTTATATAACAAGGTTGAGATTTTTTTTTTTCTGATTTCCACCTTCCAAGATCCAGTTTTCATCAGCTTGGGAGCTGTAAGCACCTGTTTAGAATGCATGACCTAGAAAATAAAATTCTAAACCACGCAATTTTAGGAGTTCTCAACCGTCTCTCCAAATCTAGGCTTATCTCCTTTATAATCCTTGCTGGCCCTAACCAAGCACTCACTGTTTTGAGTGATACTCTTTTTTCTCTCCTATTTCTACTTTTCCCAGCACCTTTGGCCATATTGAAATCTTATGCTTCAAACTGTTTCCTTCTTGACTCCTTAGCATAAGTTCATTTCCTTTTACTCTATGCTCTCATAAATTCTTACTATCTTTGTATATTAGTAAATATTTAAAGTAATTTTTCTTGTGTGTTTGTTGATCAGATCCAATTTGATTGAAATTCCCTATTAGGGCGATTTATCTTTTTCTCTTTCCCCTCCCCATAGACTTCCTATTGGAGTCTTAGAATTTTCAGCTCATATGGGTTCCTTAATAAATGTCAATCAACTGACAAATATTTACTGAGTAGCTGTTAAGTCCTAGAACCTGTTCCAGGTGTTAGGGAGGACGGAGTGATCAAATATATATATGGGGTGAATATAGACATTCAGTTTCAAGAACGTCAGCATTAGAAAAGTCTTTGGTAATCAAAGTTCCTGTTTGACAAGAACAGAGGCTCAGGAAGGTCATCTGGTTTCCTCAGGGTCACCCAGGAAGTTACTGGCAGAGTCAGGAGTTCTGACTCCAAGTCCAGTACTTGTCCATTTCATTACCAGCCACCTACATATTGATGAGGATATCTCTAATTTCTTTAATGAGTCTGAAATAAGAAAATCTGAATAAAGAATATCTTTATGTTTTAGCAAACTCAATCTATTGGTAAATTTGTCTTGTCAGAGGGCTGTTTTTCTTTAATACATTGAATACTATTTTTCTTGAAGTAAGCTCTACAATGCTTACTTCAGTCATTTTACCTAAAATCAAGTGCCTAGACTCTCAACTTTTGAAAAGTGAAAGAAAAGAATGTGATGAATTTACAGAAGATTAGCAAACTAAATCTGTCAGATTTTCATTTGTTGGTAACTTTAATGTTAAGCATTCCAAAAGATCATTCTTTACTTGGGAAAAAAAGAAAAAAAGAAAAAATGATTCTGTTCCTTTATCAACCCTTTAAATGGCAGTCAGATGAAAGTTTATACTTTGTCTCTCTTCAAATGGTAGAAGTATATAGAGACTATCTCCTCTTGGCATGTAAGTGTGTCCCTAGGTTCTTTTTACCTTCCATTTTGTGTTGGACATGCTGTAAATCTGTCCCATGTCACATTCCATTTACAAATAGCTAATAAAGAATTTTAACTTCACTTATGTTTTAGGTGGTAATTTTAAGTACCTCTACAAAGTGTGAAATGCATGTACCATTTAGCATGAATTGAACAAACCACAAATATTAATCAACAGCAGAGATGGGAAGAGCAACACAAATAACTCTCCCCCCCCCACAATTCTAAATAAAATATTCTCAAGTTATTATTCACAACTATTAATCTTTCACTAATTTTTAGATCTTTAAATTACTGATCCAAGTTAGCCTTTTTTTTTTTTAATTAAAAAATTCCCTAACAAAACACTCCAGGCTAAGGCTTCCTATTGTGAAAATGATTTTGTTTCTCTCTTTTCTTATGATAATATTATAGGGTATTTAATGCTTCAAAGGAATAACAGTCATTTGCTTAGTTTCTGGAGAATTTAACAGATTGTAAAATGACTTCAGGGACATTATCACAGAACTTCATAACAATTCTCAGACACTGAGTAGGGACATTTAAAAAAAATCAGTTTTGCAGATGAGAAAGCAAGCTCATAGAGGTCAAATCTTGCATTCTGGCTAGTAAATGGAGGATGAGGCCCCAAGTCTAGGGCTATTTAAGAAATAGTGAAGGACACCAATCATTTCTTCCCATGTGTTGGTAGCGTTAGCCTCCATAATTAAATCCAAATAAGTAAATGCTATTTTCAAAATGTGGATATCACTCATTTTAACCTCTTCCTTTTTGCAACTGTTCTCCACAGAACAACAGTTTTGATTGTTGTGAGCATTAAAAAAAGAGACCCTCGTTAATGCCTGATCCTCAAGGTTCCCAGTTTTATTTTCATGAATTAAAAGTCAGCAGGGTCATATCAAGAGACAATTATAAACCTGTGAATACAAAGCTAAAATTTAGATTTCTTGGTTCTTGCAGAGGAAGAGCTACTGCCTACTAACCTGTTGTTAGTGGGTAAGCCAAGAAATTTTTCTTCTGGCTAAGACATGGAAGGGAGGGAGGGTGCTTTGCATTAATTTCTTTTTTCTGTCTCTTATACAAAGTCTTATTCAGTGAAATATCAGATGGTATACCTCAACTCGGAAAATGACTTAAATACCCAAGTCAAAACTTCCAAACTGAGAAAAAGTTGATTGCATGTCTGTTGCACCTGAATGTGGGCTTGTACATACCCTGATTTTGCTCCATAATGGTAGCTACATCCTAAAGAAGTAAAAGACTAGAAAGAACAAGATAATTTTCTTACAAGAAAACAAAAAGGATTCTAACAGAGCAATACCAATACCAGTCATTATTGGGGCTTTCAACCCATACAGGAAAATTCTCTCCATCTAGCATTCCTCCAGTTCTCCAGAAAGGGGAGTGTGAGACAGACCTCTGTTAGCCTTGAGAAACAGCCTTCCCCTCCACCCTTCACTCCATCCCACTGGGAAACAGAGGTGGCACCAAATCAAATAGAATCTAAGATACGCCAAGTAGTTAAAGAAATCGTCAAATTCACGATCCCCAGGATTTCCTGTATTTGTCTTACAGGATAGGTATCCCATTACAAAAATGTAGTCAAATACATTCAGGAAACTCTGGGTTAAGCAGAATAAAACAAAGCTCTGAATTACTGTAGTCGTAGAGTTTTAAACTATGCTGGTGTGCCTTATGGTTCTGTAGGATACAAGGGTGTGGGGTGGATGAGTGGGGTGTACAGTCAGGTGATGGACAGCATTGTTCTGGTCAACCATAAACCACGTCTGTGTTGATGCTCTGCACCTACAGTCTGGGGGTGCAATAGGTTGTACCATTAGGTTTGTGTGATACACTCTAGGACGTTCACACAATGATGAAATTACCTAACAACGCATTTCTCAGAATATATCCCTGTAATTAAGTGACACATGACTATATCAAGTTTCCCTAACATATTTGGCCATAAAGTCCTTTTCTTGAGGAGTGTCTCCAAGGCTCACACCAGAAAATGGCAAACTATGGTCCACAGGTCAGCCTTCTGTTTTTGTAAATAAAAGTAAGGGAACACTGGTTCATTTACTTATTTCCTATAGCTGCTTTTGCCACTATTAGAGCAGACTTGAGTAGTTGTGGCAGATATCCTAGAGCGTGAAAGCCTAAATATTTACTCTTTGGCCTTATAGATCCCTATGGAACACATTTTGGGAAACATCAATACCTATGAATAACACCACCGGAGTGAGACACACAGAACAATTACCACAGACAGATTAAATCCCTTATCCCATATTTATCATGTGCAATAAAACAAGGATTTCATTTCATAAAATATTTCTCAACCTCTTCCACCTCCCACTATGGAAAAGGGTCATACTTGGAAACATATACAAGTTTGTTTTCTGTCCATGCTAACAATGAAAATCACAAGACATGATTAACCCACTTTTGACTGACTCTCCAGTCATTTGCACCCAACCTCCTATGGTATCAAAAGAGGTTTCCTTACTTGACTGGTTCCCATGACTCCCGCTCAAAGCCCCTGTGAATGGATTGTGCAATTGAGGACTCCATCAAATCCACATATCTAACCACAAGTGGGGCAAACAGGTCTTGCAGGTGTTTGTGAAATTTTCCATTGCACAAATTATCTAGAACAGATAAGCAGAAGCTTGGTAAGAACCCACAGCTGTGTATTCAACATACAATGTACACACAGAGAAGTCTGTCTTGTACATTAAATATACTCTTTCCACAGAAACGGTAGGGTAGGATGTGGGGGTGGGGTTGCAGGGGTGGGGAAGAAGAGAAGGAAAAGAGTACAGGATTGAAGTTAATGTTGAAATCTGTGTGAAAGGAAAATGGGAGTTAAGAACATTTTATCCATTTGTCCTGCTCTTGCAAAAAGCAAAAATAACAATGACATTGTTTTCCCCACTTTCTGTGCATCACCTCCCTTCCTCTCATAAAGCTACCAAGAAGAAAGAATATTCTGTCCCCACTCCCTTCACTCATCTCTCTCCCTGGGGAGGAAGGTCCACTCTATGGCGATATATTACTAGAAGGTACTCTGAAATGTTGGGAGTGTTTTTAGCTAGAAAAGGTTTTTCCTCTAGAAAGCCTCTTTCAGTAGAAAACTGAAAATGTAAAAAAGGTTAAGTTAATATTAACTTGTTCCAGAGCAAATAAAAACACACAAGGAAGGGTCCCACTTCACATTGTGTAGGGTTCTTCAGCCTCCTTAAGAATGGGCTTCTCTGCAATCAGACACTTGTTGGAAGATCTAAGATCAGATCTAAGACTATTTTTTAAGTCATAAAATTATGAAGAGCTATAACTGGCCTGTAGTCTGTCTGGGATGAAGATGCTTTAGCAATCTGTTCATCTGATCAGTACTTAGGAAGGTCAAATAGTCAAAGATGATACATACAGTCTGTACGGAGAAAATCATTCAGCAGCTGAAACAGTGGAAAACTGTCCCATGTGTCTGGGGGCTGCACCTCTAATGCTGCATCCATGTCCACTGCAAAGAGTGACAGGAACGTCTCGGCATGCTCCACCATCAAGTCTGACCACCACGCAAAGGCCTTTGAAATTTGGCAGAAAAACAACAGATAAACAGGCAATGAGCTTCTCTCTTTGACATCAGATGTGAACTCAAGCCCTCACTGTTAAGATTAAAAGTGCATCCAGCAGGGTTTGGTAATTGTATTGTAAAGAGAACAGCATTTTGATACAATTGTGCCTCTGTGTATCCAAAGGCAATGTTTTCCACAATTCCAGGCCTGCCTTTAGAAAGTCTTTACTCTGATCTGCGGGTCAGAGGTTGCAGCTGTAAAAATGACAGACGTGGAACTTCTGTTCAGTTTACAATAACTTGGTATGTGTAGAGTCATGCTCTTTAGCATTGTTGTTGGCTAGTTCTTGTTCTAAGATATTAGAATTTGGGAGTTTCTTCACTGTGTTTATGGGTTTTCTGCTGGTCTAACTTGAAAATTTGCAATTATTATTTACTCATTATACATCTGGGGTTTAATTGTCTTATGCTCTCATACAAGGTCAGTGACTTACGTTTCCCTACACATTGGAAAGGTTACTCCTATTTCATACCAAGTCAAAGGAAACCATTGCTGAAATTATCATAAAACTTTTGAGTCAAAAATCTCTAAGCAAGGAGCCTCGGGTTTTATATCCTGTCCATAGAAAAGTTCAGGTTTAAGCTGGAGACACTCAGTAAGACTAGGACTTACTTTTCTGGGATTGGACACATATGTACATTGAAAACCAAAAAATATCAGTGAAGTAACTCATTTTCATGCACGTGGGTCCTTGGAAATCATTGTGCAGGGTCTCAGGGGCAACATTCACATCGGACTAGGCCAGATGTGAATGCAATTCAAAGGCATGCATGCATGTTGACTAATCATTTCTGGCAGGGAGCATGCAGAATGAGTGGCGGTGTCAACAGGCCCTTTTTTGCCAATTTCAAAGAGAGCAGAAAAACAAAAACAAACCGCCAGCCCCATCTTGTCCCCCACGTCCCCACCCAACGCCGTAAAGTATTTACATTGGAAACACTTTCCGGAGCATTCACCAAAAAAAAAAAAAAAAAAAAAAATGGGAAGGCGTTTGGAAATATGGAAGATGATTATGGAAATAATTCCATAAATGAGTGTTCGATGGCCAAGCTTTTCTGTGATCTATTAGTTATCTGGGGATATTCTAACAGCCACTAGGAGGCAGGCTGGGTGTCCACCTCTCTGCTTTCATGAGATTTCATTTTACTTACTTCTCCTTTATCAACATGTGGCTGGTTTGCAAATTAAATGGAAAAAATCAAGTCATGGACCATTCTGCAAGGCCAACTTGACTGGAAATAGACACCTGCTGTTTCCATTTTAATTTACAGTAAAACCTCACTGATGCAGAGTAATGGGAGAGGACAGATACCAGTCTGCAGCAAAAAAGCCTATATTATTGGACTTTCTAAAAAAGGTATCATTTTGCTGCTTTTAAATGCAATCTGTACATGGTCACCGAAGTAAAAGGCATTCTTTAGGAACTGTATGAATATGTCATAAATGTAAAAGATTTTTAAAAAACTGCTAATAATTATAAACAAATTGATCTATAAAGTGAAGTCAGAGGTAGACCATTTAATTTCAGAAATGAGGGATGAAACTTGTAAGAAAAGCCCTTAGAATTTCCAGAAAAAGTTGAGATCATGTGAAACACTTTACTTAAGAAAAATGAAAAGAGCCACATCTGCAACTGAATTCACAAATCAAGTATTTGGGTCTGAATCGATGAGGTTTTATTGTAGTTTTACAAACTGTGGATGAGAGCCCTGGGGTTTGGGGCTTGCTCCACTGACTTCCAGGTTAAATCCAGCAGAGGAAGAAATCCTCCATCCCACCCACTCCCACCCCCAGACTTATATGGAAAGATGGATCTCATCAATCCTGAGGCAGAATATTTGCAAAATTCAAAGGCAAGCCAAATGTTGGCTGGCACTTATTCTTTAGTTATTTGACTAGCTTTACAACTTCAGGGTAAGTCCAAGGAAAACAGTTAGTGGGCAGGCTCAGGTGCCTTCCCAGATTTTGCTCTAGAGTGACAGAAAACAAAACAAAAAAAATCAACCCAAGCACTTAGGCTTGAAATTCAACATTTCTTACCCAACCTCATACCTGGTTCTTACCAGCTTTATTTAAAAGTTACAAACCAGAGCCCATAATAAACATCCACTTCCACTATCTATATAGAACTTAATCCATGGTTGAAACAACACATCATTGAGCAATTATCTACAAATGTATTAATAATATATATTATACATAATATATATGTATCATCACAAAGAATAATGACTACTATTATGGGACTTTTCACTATTGAAGTCTGGCATATGAATTTAAGATTCCAGTGAACTAAGAAAATTCAAATATTTGGTTGTAGAAGAAGTGAAGTTCATTCCAGGTAATTCTTTCAGAACCTCATAAACAAAACCTGATTTTCTGAGGAGAAAAAGATTCTGGCAAGAACAATAACAGCCAACCAAAAAGTCATATCATAATTTTCAATAAAATGAACAGTCTATATGATTGGTGTAGAAAGGCAGGCTTTATAAAAAAAAAACACACAAATTTGTTTATTTTTGCTTGCTTGATAGGTGAATGCTATTTGTACTTGCGTTAACTTAATGTTTGTGGGTATCTGAAGTCTTTAGAAAGACAATAACAAATAATACATTGGTTTTTAAATACTTACCCAGTGTTTTTCAATATTCAAAGGCTTTAGGGGTACAGCTACCACATGGAATACACGATCTATTTTGTTCACAAACTACATGTATATATGTACCCCTCTCTATAACACAATACATATATACATATACATACGTATACATAGAGAGAGATTGGAAAGGTGAAGAAACAATGCATGAAGGTATAATTTGTGTTTGTGTATGAGTGTGTGTGTGTGCACGTTTGTGAATGCTTTCAGCCCTGAGAGAAGAATTAAGGTGTAATTAAGAGATAAAAGTGACAACTCTAGAACATACTGTACATGTGTATGTAGATGAGGAATTCTTAGCTAGCGGGCCTTTTTTTTTTTCCTCCCAGGACATTTACTTACTTCATATTGAAATTAAAATGCTTTTAAGGATTATTGTTTACTGGTGTGTGTGTGTGTGTCTATTTGTCACTTTCATTGGTATACTGTCACCAAATAGCACAGCCGCATAGCCAAAATCCAATGCATAGACTTTAGTGTCTTTTTAGAGTTCATTGAGCACACAGATAATATGGCAATGAGTGCTGATCAGTAGAAAAACATGTCCATACTTCATTCTTTTAGCAGCAAAATCTTCATCTTTAGTGTCTAAGACAAGTTGGATGGGTTCGGCTATAGCCTAGTGGCTCTTGATTCAGCTGTGCCCTGAAATCAGCTGGGTAGCTTTAAAAATCACCATTTCTCAATATCCTCCCTGCTGTGAGATTTTGATGAACTGATCTGATAGACCAGGGGTGGGACTGGGCCAAGAGATCCTCAGATACTGCAATCTGTATGTGAACTTGAGGACAGAGGGTGGCTCTTTTCTGGGCCATTCCACCTTGAAACAAACCCACTCTCCTCTCAACATATTCTGTCTGCATCACTCATTTGGTGGATCTACATAGGGTTTATCCTTTCTATGATTATATTTATAGGTTTTGTTTTCTTAGCAAATTGTTCATAGTATTATTTAATAGCTAGGCTTTGTTGAATGCTTACTTTGTGCTGGCATAATACCAGATGCTTTACTTATTGTGGCCTTCTAGCCTCACAATGATGCTCTGAGACAGATGCTATCATTATCTCTAATTTACAGGACAAGAAAGGCTAAGTAAACAGGTGGAGTTTCTAAAGCAAGAAAGAGGCAAAGTTGGAATTCATCATGCTCTGACATTTTTGTCAAAGAACCCGAGCTGCTGGTCACTGCCTTCTATTGCTTCAAGAACCACCAAGGGAGTTCCCTAAACATTCAGCAGATAGGTAACTTCAGATTAAGTAATGAGATTTTGAGACTGGGTGAAATTACTAATGTGAGAAATAATCCTGCACATTTCTTCAAAAGCTAACTGTTGTCGATTAGTACACTGAGGTTTTCATTCTTACTTCTTTAGTAAATAAGAACAGAACTGAATTTATTTCTACCCTATATATTTTCCTTGACTGGCTCTGAATATGTAAGATTAAAGTACTTTCATGATAATGATTATTAGGCAAGTTTAAGATAATGATTAGCACTTAGAAAAAAAATGCTTTTTGGAAAAGTGAAAAAAAAAATTCATTCTTTGGAATACTGACTTTCCTTTGGTATCTCTTTTGAGTTAATTTTGGAAAAATATCCATTATTTCTTAGCCATAGCAACCTCAAAAGAACTTGATTAGATCAAGCATATTTGTACTTTTCCTTCGATTCTTCTCTTAAAATCACACTGTGATTATATCCATGTCTTCTTTATAGGCATGTCTTCAAAATGTGTAGACTTGGTTTTACCTCGTGAGAAAAGTTTCAGTCACTCAAATCAGGGACAGCTCAGAACCCGTTTACCCTTCTGGATACAATTTTGAGGATACCCAGAAAGAACATACTTACCATCATTTTAACCCCAAATGCCTCCAATCTGAAAAGACCATCATATATTGATAGGATAGAGCAGGAAAAAAAAAAAAACTAGCTTAACTAAATTTCATGTTCCTGTAGTTCACTCTTAGTTGCTATGGTTGCAGATTGTTGATTTGTCCTCTCGTCTCTCTCCGGGTTCTACATTGCTGCAGGAGTTTGTGATAACTGGGAGCTGCAGGAGTTTGTGATAACTGCCTCAAGGGGTCTGTACCCATTCCCAGAGGGTTTGGGGGAAATAATAATTCTTTGGCACTCTCTCTATATATAAATACTGTATATATGATTCACATACAGACAGTTGTAGAGGAAGATTAGTATCACTCTGGTTAGCTATTGGTTACTACATTTGGCACTGGTCTGCTATAATAAAGGTAGGTACAGACAGACATAGGAAACTATGACAGGCTAAGGACAGAATCAAGGCAGATAGGAGGCATCTACTGGGATGTAACTGCAGTTGTGGTTAAGTATATCGATTGCTTCATGCAAGCACAAGAGAATCACCCACGTTTACCCTGCTGTGGAGGGCCACCCATTTCACAAGCAGTCCACTGGAAGTTGCTGTTACATTCCTTGGGTCAGTGTTAGAAAGCAGGAGCACCCAGGAAAAGTCCCATTAGAAGACATGTACTGGAAGGGCATGCACAGACTATGAAGGCAGGTGGCTGGCTCATTCGGTTTAGTCACATACCTCTTTTCCCTGTCACGATCAGCCAAGATTGAGTGGAACAGTAGAAAAACAGGGAGGAAATTTAAATATGCAATCAGGTATCAGCTGGGATGATGGATTTATGGTGTATTATATATTATTTAACTACACTGTCAATTTTCATTTAGTCATGGGATTGATCATTGTAGGTGTTTGAGAAATTACTTTTAGGGAATTTCTTTTTCCCCTTACGCTGTATATTTGAATGTAGAAGAAAAGTGAGAATTAGTGTAATTTTTCAAAAAGGTAAATTTAAGAGAGAGGAGTTTAAATCTCAGTTTTGAAGCAAGCAGTTTTGAAACAAAATACAATATTTTGACCATAATGAAATCCTGGAATTTTTCTTAGAAGGATTAGCTTCAGTTAAGTCTTTACAGGTTTGGCATTTAGTTAGCCTTGAAATCCCTTGGTTTATAATTATGATTGAAATGATCATTTTGACCGTGGTTAGTAAAAAAAAAGGAAGTTTCTTTATTTAATGTATGCTGGTGAACTGACAAGTTGAACAACAGAGAATAATTTGCTTCTTTCATTATGTTGGGTGACCTGGATCATCTAAGGTTAATGAATAAAGACTCTAATACAAGCAGAGTGAGTTACAGAGATAAATTTTAAAAGATGGCCTGTGAGCCACACACCAAAATAAATAAATAAAAACAACAGTGGTGGCAACAAAAACAACCACAAAAGACCAAAAAGCATTTTGTGTGTCTTGGACAATAACCATATGCTGCTTGAATAATTAGCTTTATAAAATATACTCACCTCTTTTTCTTGTTGTTAGAAACATCTGAAAACTTAAGCTTGTGTAATATGCAACCACTTTGTGGTTGTTTTTAAACAACCTTCCAAAGGCTTCTCCTTGCAAAACTTCCACTTTCATTCTTTTTGCAAGTCCAGTTAAAAGAAAAGGGGTGTTAAGGCATCTTATTCACAACATCACCAGTAGAATCAGTTCTGCAACCTCAGCTAATGAGACCAAGGGACATTTCCCACCACACCTGCTCACCTCTGCATGGTGCTCCTCATTTTGCTGAAGAACTTCAATGACTAGTTCAGCAAGACGTATTGTGTCTTCAAGCTTTTTGGCAGGAGTGATTAACCGGCCTACATTTTCTGTAGTACAAGAATTTGTGTTAAAATTCAGTGAAAGAGGCAGGCTAATTTTGTGGACATTAGAACTAGTGGATAAAAAATTTCAAATAGTTATTAATTTTTCTAAAAAGTTTCATGCAAATGTTAAGTGCCATGTAATTAGTAATGAGCAAACCATAAAGCCATTTTATTATTATCACCATCATCATTATAATACATGTTAAGAAAAGCAGTGCTCCAGCTTCAAATTTGCATATTAAGTTATAAAGTCTGACAGCCCATTTCAAATGTAGTGACATTTATACACACATTCTTTAAAGACAGCATACATGTACTATCTTATATCACTCTAGGCTGCGTTCTTGCTGCCTGAAGTGGGAAGATGTAATAGAAGTTTAATCTTGACTGCTGCTATATTTGTTCCCTGACTTTGTCCCTTAACAGTCAATACAATAACATTGTTTTTCATTATAGGTCTACATTTAACAGGTATAGGAAAATTCATTTTTAAAGAGCAGCTTCAAAGGTCTGACTGTTCTAAAGTTGTCCATGGGGGAAGACTGGAAAGTAATAGATATTTCTGAACCTTTAGATAGAAGGCAGGATAGAATTATTGAAATGTTGTTGGGGGTAGGTTATTGGATAAAGTAATGGCACTTTGTGCCACTGGTTTAAACAATTGAAATTTTATCAGTTATTTGGCAACAATGTAGTTCAAGCTTTTGTTTTTGTGCTTCTATAGTATTGAAAGGATTGCATTTTTATCAGACTCAAGAATGGACAGTACCTTGGTTTCTGTGGCATCTACTTTAATGCTAAGTTGCCATTGTTTGACAATGTCATTACTTGGCCAAAAATTACAAACTTTTTGGGGGGTAAGTAGATGGGGGAAGAGTAAAATTAAAAATATAAATTTTTGTTTAGTCATTGAAATTTCCTGAAATCAATCAGTTTTGAACATACAGAGGAACTGTATTCCATGCTTCCAACCTTGAGCCTCAGTCACTGAGGTCACATTAGGGTATAATGGCAATAAGGACCGGTTAGCACAGGTGCTTAAATAAATACATAAGAGCCACTAATTTAAAAAAAAGCACACTTCATTATTTTCCCTTTATTTGTTAGACAGGCAATGAACATGGCAGATGATTGGTAATTTAGGATTTAATAATTCTAAATAGTGACACACTATGCAAAAAAGAGTGTTTCAGCTTGTGGGAGTTAAGAGTGAAGTATAGACCGAGTAAGGTTACTGAGGTGTTGAAAGTTCTAGTCCAACAAGACCCAGTGATTGATGTGAAAATGAGTTTTCTGTATTCAGGACAATGGAAAGTTCCAATGCTTTCCACTTGAGTACTGCACTCAAGTAAAAATGTGGTTGGAAATGGTTAGGGAATGAAGGTGGGAGCTGTAGCGCATACAAATATTCTCAGATCAGAGAGAGAATATGATACACTCTGAGTAAGGAGAGGTGTGGAGTTTAGGGGCTGATTGAATTATCTGGTCCAGAGCAATAAATGTTTGGAGAAAGGATGAGTGACAAGATTGATTTCTGTATTTTGGGGGCACCTGGCCTATTTATAATCATAAATAGATAATCATAATTTCATTAGTAGGCTTTCAGGCATTTCTACAAACATACTGTGTATATATGTTTGGGTAATATGTGTAGAGTGAAGTATTTGCATTTTGATAGTAAATATGCATAGGCTATTTTTTATTAGTTGGTATTCACATTTACACATCAATTTGCAAATTCCTCATCCTATGCTTATTACCCATTTGACACATACACCCACATACACACATCACATACTTACATACATTTTCTAGTAACCAGACAGGCCTGCACATTAATACAAATCTGCAGGAAATCCCAGTTGGGGCACATCTTTGAAATCTCTTGCTTTAAAAATAGAGAGCATTGTCCTTTTGGGTGGACTACTCACCAAATGTAAGGGAATTCTAGTTGTGCATAACATATGATGCAGAGATGAAACAATTCCCACCAATCATTTTATGAACTTTAAAAAAAACTGTGAATGATTTTTACATGTGGAGAAATCCAAAGATGCTTAAGCTAGGACCACCTGAAGATTTGTTTTAATATGCAGTACTCTTAGATTGACTACAATATTTATCGATGGATACACATACAGTGTGTATGTGCACGTAGTCATTCTGAGTTTGTGCACATGCACGCAAATATGTGTATGCCTGATGTATATATACAGACAGTATGTTTAATAAAACCTTTTGTAATTTTACTTTAACATGCAACCATTAAAGTTGGCAGGTTAGGGATCCTTTCATCTAAAATACTTGATCTTCCAATTAACCCATGTAGCCAGACTTTCTTTTATTACTAATTAGCTGCAATTGCATTACCTATAGATTAAGCCATTTCATTGAAACCCAACATATTTTTCTCTTCATCTGCAGAGTTGACTAGCTAAATGGCAAAAATGGTATCAATGTGACTTCTCTAAGATGTTGTCTTTAAAGAAAACATTGTGCAAAATCCTCTAGCACCTCCTCCCTCCCCCCAACAGAGGTCAAGGAGAAATTTGTGCTTAGAAATGAATTTTTTGTCACTTCTGCTGTCCTTAGATGTATTGCAATAGCCCTATCACCCAATCTCACATTAGCTGGAGCACTGACTAAATATACAATATACTGAGTAAACATTTCATACAACAGAATTGAAGCTCATAACATATAAAAAAATCATGCAAAATGTTATGCAACAACAATGTTATTTTGTGCTGACATTGAGATTTGAAAATGTTGCATATGTCAGACATAGCTAGACAAAAAGATGTGGACATTTGGAAATAAATGCTTTCTTTCGAGTCTCTCAAAACCTATAGTGTCAAACTCGAGAGCCTCAGTGTAGTAGTCTAAACCGAGACAAAATTTCAAGAAAATGAACAGAAAAGCAAACTAAACTAGAAAGCTGCCAAGTAAGGAAAGGTAAGGAGTTTACAGTACTTGACTTTGGCCTAGGCATGCCTTTGAGCCTCTGATATAACATGCTGGTCTGCGTTTGGGTGAGTGGAGGAGGCCCAGGAGGTGACCGGGGAGCTGCTCAGGTGGATGAAGAGAAACAGTGAAAAAGTAAAGAGACAAAGTGACTTTTAACAAAGGGTGAAAAAGTAAGATGATGAACTCTGAAAAGAACAACCAACCAAGCAAAAATGATACCAACGGAGAGTTGCCGCTGTCTTGGTGTTACCACAACATTACAGAGATATGACATTGTTTGACAATGGACCCAACTCTTACCAGTGTCACCAGCACCAACCTACTGAGACACTCAGAGGCTGAATGCAAGTGCTGGATGTCTTTTTCCAAATGGATACACGGGAAGGACGGAGGCGGCATCATTGACGGAAAGAAGAGACACTTTTGTACAATAAAGAACACCTATATGATAACAGTGGCTTCCTCCTTCCAGATGACCAGAAATATGACTTGATGTATTCAGAGTTGGAAGAGCTGGTTTCTCATCCTAATAAGCTACTTAATGTCCTATGTAACCTTTCATATTCTACATCAGCCTTCCTGTGCTTCGGTTTCCTTATCTATAAATTGAGACTATATCTTTTTGAGTGTTCCTCGCAGGATTGCTGATGAGGGAAAATAAAACAATGCACAGGACAGGTCTCTGTAAAGTGCCTAGGGTGCCTGCAAATGTTTATCGTTATCGCCAACATTGTGAGAAGGCAGCAGCAATTAATTGCTTTGCAAAAGCAGATGAAGGGCCGTTATTAGTTCAAGTGAGCTAGGGAATATTCTTGTTCCCTTTGTGGAATTTCAACATGTCAAAATCTGTCATTTTGGGGAAAAATGTGTGGTATCTGATTGTTTCCAGCTCATTTAATTATTTTCAATTTGGAATTCTCATGGCTTTTATATTGTGGGTTGAATCATATATAAAAACTTGCCAGCTTATCAAATATGTTACTTGCTATTCCAAATGTTAGAATACCGTAATCAGCACTTGACCCATCTGTCATGTGGTTTACAATATCAGCACAGCAAACATCCTACAACAATAGCCTCTCCTTCCATACAGGCACAGAGCACTGTCAGCTTCTACAGTTCTCTCTCTTTAATGAGTGTCTCATTAACCCTGGACCTGCTCTTTTCTAATAGTTCTCATTTATAAAGCAATCTGTATGGTGAGAGGGACAGACTCCACTGCCAAGTTTGTTTGAATTTTCAATGGGGAAAAGGAATTTCACTGCAGGCTTATAGGAGATGGAATTCTAGCAACATTATTTTTTAAAAGGTTGAGAAATAAAGATAAACATAATATTCTGGCAAAACCATCTTTTAAAACCAAAAGTTGATGAGATCCTTTTCTTGCAGGACCAGCTCAATGCTTTGAATACAGTACTAAAAAAAATAATTACCAGTTTGCTCTTCTTTAGATCTTTTGTTTAGGAAAAATTGGGTATAAATAGAATTTGGAAAAATCAGTTTTAAATGACAGCTAAAGAAAGGCAAGTATTCACTCTTTCATTAGAAAAAAGGACTCTATTTTACATTTTGTTAAAATCTGATTTTTTACTGACTGTGCCAGGAGTTGGGTAAATCTCTGAATGTACACCCTCATGGCCCTTTCCATAAATGTGTGTCAGCTGAGTGTGCAATTCTCCTGGAAACCCCTTACTTACACTCACCCAGATAACAACCGATGTATAGAAACACTCAATCTGGAGGTTCTTAAAACAATCAAATGTCCCCAGACTGATCCATAACCCATGAGACAAGAGATACATGTTTCAGCTCAATGGGTCTTGATGAGAAATTCATAAAGAGATTCCCTCCTGCCAACTGTCTGTCCAGAATTCTGACAGTGAGGTTTGCCACCAGAGAAAACAAGCTCCCTATTTTTTTTTCTCCTCACAGAGCAAAACAAAAACATCATACCTTGGTTTCCAACTTCATTTACTCAATTACCATTGCTCATGTTTACACAATTAAATCTGCTTGGCTTCCAGAGAGAGTTAAATGTGACTGCAGAAAAACAAAAAGAGAATTCCTCTGCATGCTCAGCTAAGCCAAGGAAGAGAAGCATCCAGGAGTGAGAGACACTCCAATTAGCCCTTAAATAACCTGACCATTTCTGGTTCCAGCAAGAGAATTGGCCAGTCCCTGAAATATTCTATGAGAGATATGACTGATGGAAATCCTACTTGCTACCAAGTCCTAACCTACTGATGTTCACGGAAGATGCCAGGGTTTGTACTATAATATTATTGAAAATAACTAGTCATAGCAACTTCCTGTGATTTGGGGGTAGAGGAGGAACAGAAAGCTAAACAGGGAGCTACACCACATTTCCCACAGTACTTTCCTAAGTACTCTGAAAGCCTTCTAAATTGATGGGTCCATTGACCACACATTTAATTCAGGGTTAAAATTCAACACCTTTTCTCTAGTGGGGTTTTTCCATTACATATTTTTGATCCACTTGCATTGTCATCACTTCCTTTCAGAAGATTCTATCCCCAGGATAGTTTAAATGTATGGTAATAAAGATTTGGATGAAACATAGATCATTGTCTCTACTCTCTTCATTGCAGTCATTTTTGTATCATCTCCATACGAAGATGGGTGGTATGGCTAATCCATTCTACTCTAAATATTTCTTGATATTATCTCCCTTTTTTTCAGTTCACGTGCCTATACTCTCGCCGAGGAGATAGACTTGTGACTTTAGTTTTATCATTTCCAACTCAAAAATTGCTGAAGACTCCAAATCAGCCTTAGTCCTTTTTCTCCTGCAGTTCATTGTCCACACAGCAAACAGAATACCTCTGTAAAATACCTGAACCTGTCAGACTCCTGCTCAAAAGCCTTTAAGAGACCCCCTTGATAACAAGTTATGGCTTCAAATGTCAGAACGAGTGGGCCTTCAAAACAAAGGCCCACCTCCTCTACTGATACCTCTACATAGGCATGTATTGCCCCCAGTAATAGCAATTATATGCATCTCTGTCTTTCCTGCTGCCCCCTGAATTATGTATTTCTAAGGGCTAGAACAATGCCTGGCACAGGGCTGGTCCTCAAATACTGGTGGAAGGAAATCCTCAGTGATACTGCCTGATGCCATGCTTTCATGAGAAAGCAAGTGCTCTCTGGTCATAATACAGTCATGTGTTCCAAACAATATTTAGGTAAATGAGGAATTGCACAAATGGTGCTGGTACTAACAGGCTATATTCTAGGGTCTAAGAGTATAGTAGGCTGTATCATCTAGATTTGTGTAATTGCATGCTATGATACTCACAATGATGAAACCACCTAAGAACATATTTCTTGGAATGCAGCCCCATCCTCAGGTATGTATGACTGTATGATATAAACCACACTATTTTTTCTCTCTTAACCAGCTTACTTAATCAACCTACTAAGCTGAATGGTTAAACAGCAAGCATTACAACTTAAGCTTTCAAACAAGAGAACAACTTAGGGTGTCTTAATGTAAGTAAATGTGACTTAAAATAATTAAAAATAGTTTTTATTTCAATTAACCTAAATGTATCCACAAGGAAGAAATAATACTTCTGTAATTTTTTTCTTCACCAATTTGGCATCTTTGTATTCCAAGTTTTGTCCCTATGATGGAGTTACTGCACCTAATTCTGGACAGACATGGTAGTACTAGGCCCACAGTTACCCTTGTATGTGCAGACACCTTCCTCACGGGCTTGCCTATTCCCCTCTCCACCGGGTCATTGTTGGAATGTCAAGCAATGTTTCCCACAGGGGCAGACATGCAAGCCAAGTCTGGTCAATCACAGCACCCCATACCACCACAGGTATGACTGGCTCAGAGATTAACATGGGACCCAGGCTGGGTCAGTGAGACACAGGCTGGGTCTTCTCTGGATTTTATCCAGTTCCTTGGAAAGCAAAGCTCTTTTTCCTTTATCAGGGTCATTAACTAAGATAAAAGCCTACTCCTTCTGAGGCTATGCTGCTCCCCTACTCCCTTCCCTGACCCCCAGTCACATTAAAGAGTACCTCAGGAGCTGGAGATAGCAAAACACATGAAAATATTTTATCCCTGGGTCTAGATCCTCTATGAATTTCCTAGCTATATGGGCCCCAAATTCCCTTTTCTTGCCAAATCTACGTTTTAACACTATCCCCAGGTATCTGTTTGAATGTTAATTTTGAGAGGCACTGTTACATATTCTACTTCTGAAATCAATTTGAATGCCTAATGTATGCATTTGGATTTGGAAGTATCCTTTTAAAATAAACGATAACAGCACATATATATTTACAAAATGAGTAATTACTGTATGCCAAGCACTGTGCTCATAGTTTTATTTGGAATATGTATTTTAAACTTTTTGAAGAAAACAAAATTCTTCATGAGCAGCCATTATCAGCTTAGTTTACAAATAATAATAGTGAGACTTAATAAGGAGGTTAAAAAATTTATGGGAGGGGCCTCCCCTGGTGCACAGCGGTTGAGCGCTGGGCTGCGAAACTGCCCGCAGCCTCTGCAGTGCCGGTTCAATCCCTGGCCACCTGTGAGGGTCCCACATGGCGCGCAGACCTCTCCTGCCGCCCGCTGCTCCCCTCAGCTGTGTTTTCAGTCCTTCTGCCTGTTCTGCTCCCGGCCCTGGCTCTGGTGAATTCTCTCACCCTCCCGCACTTCTAACTGTACCCAGTCCTTATATGAATAAATAAATAAATCTAAAAAAAAAATTATGGGAGCCATAATAGTGATTAAAATTTTTGGTGTAACTAATTCTGAGTCCCCAGGCTGGTTCTGAGGTAGTGTTTTCTCAGAGTTGTACATATAGGATTCCAATATGTGGACACTGGATGTCATTAGCTGTCATACTGGAAGCTAAAATCAGTTAATTGATTGTAGGTGGGGCCAGTATCTCTTGCTGAAAGAAAGAGATTCCCCCATCCGTCAAATGAAGGTTTGGGATTAGATGATTGGGAGAAACCCCTTTTTGGTGTCAGGATTTTATGGCTAACAAATTGTTAGTGTTTCATAGCACAGAAGTTGGAAGTGTGGGATTTGGAATTAAGTTTATGTTGAGATTCTGCCTCCTCAGATTCAATCAGTTGAGTAACCTTGAACAAGATGCTCAACATCTCTCTACTTTAAGATATCCGTACACAAAAGAGTGATTTCTTACTTCACTGAGAGTAAGAGGCACAACTTAACATTTTCAAAATTTACATTTTAGATTTGGTGGTGTGTCATAACTTAGTTGGCAGCCCTGTTTTATTCTTCGGAGTACAGAAATGAATGGTGTCTCTTATGCTTGATGGCCTTTCAGATACAATGAACTACGATAATATAATACAGAGTTGTAAGAATTAAATGAGACATGCATGTAACTTTATAGCACATACTAAATTCTCAATAAATGACAGACATTATCATCACCAGCAGCTACTTCATATCTTTTTGTCTAGTAGAAGAGACACTAGTAACAGTTATTGGCTCATGGTCTATTTTGTTTTTCTTTCTTTCCCCCAAATCCTCCTTGATAACAGTGATTGAAACATGTTTCTGAGACACTAATCTGCAGAATAATCATGAAAACAAAAATAAAAAGAGAAACATTTAGTTTCTTGTATAAATGACAGGCAGTGTGGGATGGTTCCCACACTGGAAAGTTCTAGACTTTGCTGAGTTGGAATTGCCTGTCTTGGTCTCTAGGGCAACACACATTGTGTGTTGTGAGTATTGCAAGCTTGGTTGTCTTTTCTTCTCCTTCAAAAGGTCTTGGACCTGTAGGGGGTTTGACTGGAGACAGGAAATAATGCAGGAACTTAACACTACTGCACCTTTATGAAGTCTTCTGGATAGATCTGACCTGCTTTGGAATGTTTCTGTCAAAAAGAACAGTCTCAGTTTTCTGGGAATATCACTGCCCCCAAGAAAACTTCACAATGGCACTGATCTCATCTCAGAAAGGATTTCTCTGTGTTTTTTTTTTTTTTTTATTTTGATGGACTTCCTGGATTAAAAGTTTTAAGTACTTTTGAACTGATCCACTAATGAATGAATAGTACAGTTGGGAAAGGCTGAGTGGTGGAAAGAGACCAAAAAAAAAAAAAAAAAGCATGGTGTTAGAATTTAGAAAGATCTAGCTTCATATCCTTCTTGAGAAAGTAACTTATCCTCTCCAAGTTTCAGTTCCCTCATCTGTAAAATAGGCAACAATAAGGCTCCTCTGTAGCACTAAGGCAGATATTGAATCAGATCCTCCAGGTAAAGTTATTAGCACAGTGGCTGGGTGGGCTGGCTGGCTATCTATCTATCCATCTATCCATCCTACACATCTATTTTTGCAAATACTCAGCATATCTGAAGGAAAAAATGGTTTTATCTCAAGTTCCAGAAGAATCATTATGATACTAAGAGAATTTTGCAAGTGTTTAGCCAAGAACTGAGGCAAAACAGTAATAGTATTGTAGACTTTCTCAGAGCTTGCTCGGTTCAGAATGTGTGACAATTTAAATGGAAATGTATTTAAAATAATAGAATTCATTTGCAGGAGTCACAGCTTTTCTTTCATAGAGTAGCAGCCTTTTGCATTTTTTTTGGAGTTACTGTAATTAAGCTGAATATCTAATTTCTAATAATGTCACCAGACAGAAAGCATAAGTCCACCAAAATGCCATCTGCAGAGTCCCATAGCCTCTCAAAGCACAGCCTCACTAAAGGACTCTTTAGCTGTCCCTGTTCCCCCTCAATGTGCACATAAAACTTCAGCTGTGCCCTGCCACCTCCATACCCATTATTTTCCAAACCCATCCATGTACTTGTGCTTTGTTCACCTAAGGGAACTGAAAAGGGAGGGGAGGAAAAGATCTAGTCAGGAAGGCAGTAATTACAATTTTGATTGTGACTGAAATCTGCTTTGCCCGGTAGAGTCTTTGGACATAGCAATCTTCAAACCCATTTGTGCTGTGATCTTAACTTTCAGGTACAATTCCCTCTATTCCTCTGCCTCAGTTGTTTCTCTCCATCACTGCCAATATGATTTGTCGGGAGTGCAAATTATAAGTCATCCACTTGCTGAAAGAGTTTTAATGGCTCTCTACAACCTTGTAATCTTTCCTCTGAAAAATCCCTATACATGCAGAAGTTGGCATAGATTCCAGGTTAAGAAACTCTGGCCCATGAGATACATTTTGAACTCTGTATTACTAAGGCATACAGAGGTTTTTGCTTGATAGGAATTACTGCCATCACTTCAGCTGCATTGCAACCACACTGAATTAGAGAGTAGTTAAAAGTGTGGCCTCTACCTGGATACCCAAATTCTGATTCTACCACTTACTTTTCTAGTAGTGTGCTATTTAACCTTTCTGGGTCTCAGTTTGTTCATCTCGAAAATGGGAATAATACTATTATCTACCTCATGAAGGATTTTGAGGACTAAATGAGTTAATTTACATAAGGCACTTAGTCATACCTAATATGTAAAACACATTGAATAAGCATTAATTAACTCATTAGCAGTTCATCATGAATTCATAGTCTCATTAACTTCATGGCTTCATGTATTCACATATATTACCCTTTCTATCTCGGATGCCTCTCCATTTTCTTTGCCAGATTCCTTTCTGTGATTCTAAATGATTTTTCAAGACATAGTTCACGCTTACTTTTTAAAGTGAAGATTTCCATGGATCTCTGACAATGCCCTATTACCATAACTCTACCGATTGGTGTTGCCATGTACTGAACTAGGCTTATGCGCCCACTTGTACCCATGAGGTTAACAGCTGTTTCCCATAGTCCCTGGTTTTTTAACACTGTACCTAACACAGGGTAGGCTCTCACTAAGCATCTGTCCAATGAATGAATGAATGAATGAATGAATACCATTCCCTCCAGGAAGGGAAAGTTTCATGTAACTTGAACACAGGTTTGAGAATCTTCAAATATGTATTGCTAGCCTGTTGCTTGGCATGGGCTCAAAAATGTCTTTCCGAATGGCTCTGAAATATATTCAACTTTGATTACATGAAGTATGTTCAAATTTGACTAAATTATAATTATCTTTTGAGAATCCTTTTGACCTTATCAGCAAAGATCAACACTATATTTTCATTAAAGTTTTAAGATGGAACTATCCTCAAAATATGCTCAGAAGTTGGGAATAAACAGGAAGAAAATTTCCAAAGCTAGAGAAATTTGTAAGAGCTTTCCTCTAGCAAAACTTCCAGCCACGGCCACTGTTCAGCTACCCTGTGTGTGCATCCTCCTTAATCATGTGATACACAGAAGAACAACATGGACACAGCTTCTCTCTGTCTTGACTGATAAACATTCATCAAAGAACACAGACTTCTCAATAGGGTAGAGAACAGAAAAAAGAAATGGCAAACAAAAAGGAAGGTTAGCTTTGTTTAATAACTTTTTTATAAAAAAGCACATGAGGCCAAATCACTGGAATCCTGAAACCAAAGACAAAGATGAAATGAAGCTCTGCAGCAAACCAGAATTCTGTTCCTTCAAAGCTTATACCTTTACGAAATTCTGCTCCATGGGGTCAACATCTAATGTGCGTGAGATATAGTTAGACAGCACAAATTAACTCCTTAAGTATTATTGCAACTCCACATCAGTCTTTGGGAGTACATACGTTAAGGAGCTATTAAACAAAAACGAAAACATAAACTAAATATAACTCAACAGTCCTGATATTTTATAATGCATATACAATTGGTTCACCTGCATCCTTTTGATTCTCTATTTGAAAGAGAGAGCACAACAAGGAGAGAAGAGAGAGAGAAACAAGAACACATATGCAGGATTAATGAGCAAGTGGACCAAAATGCCCCCCACTTATGTGTGATACATGATATTGGAAAGAAAAGGTTGCCCTGGGTTTCCCACCGCCCCGAAGTGTGGGGGCCAGGAAAAAAAGGCTCCTTCACAGAGGTGGAAAATGCTGCACAAATAGAAAATTAGTAAAATTAAGTTTAATATGAAATCAAGCTATGAAACGTACATGAATTCTCCAAGTGACAATTAAGTCATATGTTCTAGCCAGAGCTTAGAGGACAAGGACAAGTCAAAATCTCCAGAGAGAACAAGGAATAGCTTTCCAGCTTGAGAGAGAACAGATAGGAGGCAAATAAGATCTAATTTTTACAGAGAATAGACCACCTTGTGTGATCATTTACCCAAAATAGTTTGACATCTTAAACATGGAAAAGAAGGCATGATTTTGTCCCAAGTGTCCTTCATCTGACACCTAACACATTGCTCCCAGCCTAGCTGCTACCTTTTGATTGTGTACCAGTGACAAGCACTTTACAAATTGGGGTTACACACAAGCAAAGTAAAAATGCATTCAGGTCACAGACAGAGAATAACTGAAAAACTTACAGACAAATCTGAGTTTATCACAAACAAATGGCTTAATTGTCTAACCTGTTTTAGGCTGATAAAAAGTGACTGGACTTCTCACACTGGGTTTCACAGACAGAATCAACAGACAAGCCAATGCTAAAAAACTTGAAGCAAGGAGAGTGAGTTGGTTTGGATCTGGATTTTCTTGAAATAATGAAAACAGAAAGAGTGAAGACAGCATGGCGAGGAGGTGGTAGGTACTCACGAATGGTTAAATCCATCACTTGGGAGGCCAAGCAGAAGACAGGATGCTCATACATTTCTCTCTTTTTCCCTATAAAAGAGGATTTGGGCATGCAAGAGGCTTAGGTCAGAGGTAAAGAGGTTAAGGTCATAGGTTAGAGGAAAACGTTACATTAGCTCAAAGGAAAATAGCCACAGAGTATTTTGGGATAAACACAGAATAAAAGAAAAAGGAGTTTCAAAATTGGAGATCTACTGGATTAACCATTCAGCATGCCGTGAGTCACGAGAGAGATTGTGACCATGATTTTACACGTCTCTTTAGAATTGTTGGCAAGGATACAATGACCAAAAACATCATGAGTAAAGGGAAACAGAATCTCATTGATTTAAGGCTCCAAGATACTAAGGATTTCAGACTTTAGTATCTAAGGCTCTTGAGGTATTTCTTCATAAACATAGTCTCCAGCAATATTACTACAACTTCTTTCCAAAATTCTCAGGGCACTAAGCTATTAATGCTCACAGAGGGGCACAAATGTAAAAATGGAAGATTTCTTTTCTGAGGGTAGGCTCAGAACCTTGCAAAAAGAAAGTTGTCTGGTAGTAATATCTTTAAAGCTGCAATGTCTCAGCCTATGGTGGACTATGTTCATGAAAGAAAACCTGATACATGCAGCCAGAGGATGTTGGGTTGTCTGAATTGACAATCCCAGCATGCTTTGAAATTGGTGTCACAGCCACTTTTGCAGAGGAAACATCAAAAAGTGGCTGAGCCAATCACGGACAAGGAAGGAGAGAAGCAGAAGAGAGCAGGTAGTGTGGAATGAGGTACTTCTCTGAAAAGAGAGTTGGAAAAAAAAAGATTGGTTTCTTCAAAGAATCCCCAGACCTAAAAGTCACAGTGCAAAAGATAATTAACACAACCAAGAAGAATTGAGGCACAAAAGGAAATTACAGACCAGCTGATCTACTTTGGAAATGAATGCATTTTTACTTACAGATCTTAAAGTTTGTTTTTGGATATATTTATCTGAAAGAAGAGAGCAGATCTTACCAAAAGACTAGTTAGTAATAGCTAGATAAAAGACTTAGGAGGCAGCCGAACATTTCTGGATCCCATCCCATCTCTGGCCTTGCCTAGGATTAGCAGGTACCTGGTTGACTTTACCAAATGCAACCAATCATTATGTCTGGGGAAGGTAAATGCTGGAACAATTACTTGCTAATATAGCCCTTTAACAATCTTCGTGTTTCTCTATTTTTGCCACTCATTACCAAGTCAAGAGTTGATAAACATCCTTTTAGTGCCCAATTCTTAAGTGTTTCTCCCTGGATGCATAACAATGAATTCATTACCACTGGTACACAATTTGCATTGTCAGACAGACAAAATTGAGAGAGGGAGGACATGTAATATACAGAACACTGCGAATTTGACATGATCTTAACCTAATTCTCTAAGAAAACAAGGACTTTCGCAGGATAAGCAATGGGGTTCTGGCAGATGGTTAGGTTTTTTTTTTTCTTCCCAGTCATGTCCTGAAGGCAGACAATGGGCATTTGCTGGTTTAAGTCAGGTGTTTCACATCAGATTCCAGAATATGGACACATTGAGTTTTGCACACAGAACTTCCACATTTATACACTTACACCACTGGTCAAGTTGGGTTTGGTTTTCAAATCACCCTATAGCAGCCAACAGGGTAACAATGAAAAGTGATTAATACCTTTGCAAATAGGTCCCAAAGAACCATATCTTCTCAAATAGTTTACTTAGAGTGCCTTTTGGCTGATCACTGGTAATCAGTGAACCTTCTCCTAAAACTTGAGAGGGTAGTGGTAACAACCCTTCTAGTCTGGTATAATAAGAATGAACAAGCTCTAAAGCAAACCAGGAAACATCGAGATGGCTGGAAATGAACCTGCCATGCAGTTTGAAAACACGACCAAAGACAAGATACTTTCAAGGGGCAAGAAAAAGTTAAGCAAAATCTTGATGTTACTTTATTCAATTCTTGTTTTCCTTCCAATGCTATCAACAGAGGACAACAAACTGGTTTATTTTCCTCTAATTCAAGAAGGTATCTGTCCTACAGAACTCTTTCATAGGAAAACATTAGCCACAAAGCAAACTTTGGTCTAACACAGACTCTCAGAAAGGACTTCAGTTATCTGATAACATCCTATTCTTTCCTTACAAAACTGTTTCTTGAGCTCCTGTTCTTTAATTCATTTAGTTGGTCATAGCCAAGGATGCTTTCACATTTCAAGTGCTTTCAAGTTTCAGCTCAACATACTCGGATGGACCACTGTTTTCTGCTGCCCATCAGAAAGGAGAGAGACTTCCCCAGGGAGTCATACCAAAATTTAAATTTAAAAATTGAGGGCAGAAGTGAATCTTACCTTCAATTTTGGCATATTCTGATAGCCGAGAATAGTTGACTAAAGCAGCCTGCTCTAGACATTTACGGATGACTGTTTTTACCTCCTCTTGTGGCACTGGGGTAACAATATCTTTCATCAAAACCTTTAGGTGGGAAAAAAGATCACGACAGTGTTACTCATTTATACTTCTCAAAGAAATGCAAGTCTAAATGTACGTGTGAAAGCTTTCTTTGTGACTTAATCCTGATCAAGCCATTGTTAAAAAAGAACAAATCACAATGCACGGTTAGGACAGCAAAGCCCATCTGTGAATCCAGAAAGGGCTAGGAGCATATATCTTCACTATGTCCTAACTATTTGGAAGTCTGAAATAAAACATCGAGAATTTTGGCAGTTCCCTCCCATTGATTCTGCTATTTGACGAATGGCCAACAACTCCTCAAAAAATTACAAACTAGGTCAAACAATGACAAAATTTCATCACACTTATGTTCACATCTGTGTATGTCCACATCTGTATGTATGTTTGTGTATATATAAAAATCTGTCTTTTACTTTCATTCTTACCCTTTCCAAGAGTGAGAGAGTAGCTTTCAAAGCACCTTCAGGTCGACCAAATGGAAAGCAATACCTAAAAAAGGCAGAAAAATTCTTCAGGTTGCCCAAATCTATTACATTTCAGCATGAAATGTGTTGCAATTTAATTCCTATAGCAACTCTCTCTGAGGAGCAGAAAAATGCTTTTTATTTTGTCACATTGTGTTATGTTAATCTGAATTCACACCATATATGTGTGTATATAATGTATATATGTGTATGTGTGAATAATGACTAAAGAGAGACTCTGCAAATGTCTGCAGCAGAAAAGAATATTTCGAGTGATGATATAGACTGTTGAGATTTCTATTGTGAAGGAGAGTTAGCTCAAATGTGACATATATTCTTTTTTTTTTTTTAAATTTTTTTTTTTTATAGAGGCATGTTTTTATTTATTTATTTATTTGTTTGTTTGTTTGTTTGTTTATACATGCACTGGGTACAGTCAGAAGTGCAGGAGGGTGAGAGAATTCACCAGAGCCAGAACGGGGAGCAGAGCAGGCAGAAGGACCCAAGTACACTGCTGAGGGGAGCAGCGGGCGGCAGGAGAGGTCTGCGCGCCATGTGGGACCCTCCTCCAGTGGCCGGGGAGCAGCCGGGGATGGAACCGGCGGCGCAGAGGCCGCGGGCAGCTTCGCAACCCAGCGCTCAACTGCTGCGCCACCGGGGAGGCCCATCAAATGTGACATATATTCTTATAGAAACCAACATTAAACAAAATTAGTTGCAATTGGCTAAATCTCCAAAGGATTACTATAGGAAACAAAGGAATTTATTTTGAGCAAAATCATGATTCTGCTAATTGCCCTTCCTTGATTGTAGTTTTTAATTGTTATGGGATCTTTTGTTATTGGCAATGTGTCTTGGATAGAGTGTATGATCAATAAAGATTTATACGGGAGGACTTTGATGGCACAGAAAAAGTATGTCAGGTACCATTAAGAGTTCTATTGACTGTTTCAGTTTGTCATAGCCCTTCGAGACTCTGCTCCTCATGGTACAATGGGGCTAATACGAACTAAAACTCAGAGCATCCTGTGTTCCTGTTCGACTTGTTTCACTTGTCCGCTGGGTGGCCTGGGCAAGTTACTTTATCTCTCTTGGTCTCAGTTCACTCCTTCTCTAAATGGGGATTATAATAATTACTTTACAAAGCTGTTCTGAGAATAAAACAGTAAGTTAGTGCTTACCGAGCCTCTTGTCTTATGTTTGGTACATAAGAAGTGTTTAATAAATGGGGATGTTTATTATGTTATTATAAATGCTCTGTTTTTGAGTAACTATTTCAACACTTGTGATCTAGAATCACCAGTACAGAATTAGAAATGTCTTATTTGCCCAAAGAGCAAAGGGGGGTATACAGTGTAAGCCTCATACACTGGACCCACTGGCTGCTTGGAGTGTAAGGAGCAAGCCAAGGCTGACATAAGTTCCTTTCTTTTACTGTGGAGTCTAACTAGCCCTGTTTCTGAGGTAAAGAGGAAGGTGCAGACTCTGCCTTCCTTCCCTGTTCATCTCATCCCTCCTCACATGATATGATTCACAGGATTTTTTTCCTGTTTTATTTATGAAACCTTGAAGAAGCTTCAAATTCAACTTTTTAATAGATTTAAGAAAAGATGAAAACCAGGGTTAGCTTGAAGGACTGACTGTTCTTTCAGGAGAAATAAAATGAACATGAAATTTCAAAGTCTGCTGGCTGTTGGGGAAGCCTACCCTATGGGCTTGCTTCTCCATTCATTTATTTCTAAACCTCCAAAGTGTCTCTGACAGATTTACAGTTTTAGAAAAATCAATAATAAGCCCCCAAGTCCCAAATCCTTACCTAAAATGTGTAATCTGATTTTCCAGTAGAACCCGAAGTCTCTCTTTGATTTCTTCAAAACGTTCCTTTTCTTCAACAGTCACAGTTCCAATTCCATCAGGCCTGAAAGAAGACATGTCATGAATTGACAGGAACCTCATCTGCTGACACCATCAAATCAAATCTCCAGCAGGAGGAAACTGTCCATTTTAGAAGATCAACTACAATGATCTAGGTGTCCTAAAAGTCCTTAGAAATCCTGCTTTTCTGTGCCTACTAAAGGGAAGGGCCTTTTTTTAGGTTATTGTTTCAAAGACATTTGCAGAACTGTTACTCATTTGTTGTGAAATGGCAAAAATATAAAAACTGGTGGTTTGCAGGTTAAATAAAGCATCTATGCCTATTCTGTTTGGCTCACAGCTTCTTAACTACTTACCAACATTCTTTAAATGAAGAAAATTTCACAAAACAATTTTGATTTCTCTTGAAAATTGGGAACAATTGGCATTAACTGTTAAATGCTAACTAATGGCATCTTCCTTACAGCACTCACTTGAGACATATCTCACTTGCATTACTTTCTGTCTTGTAGGCACTTTGGTTTGGCACCCCCTGAATTACATAGACTCCCATGAAAATTCCCATGAAATTCCCATGAAATATAAATTCCCATGAAAACCAGGTGCCCTATAAATGTCTGCCTTTCCCAGTGTGAAATATTCCTAAATACCTCATTTTCTAGTTTACAATTATAAATGTACAGATTAATTTTAACACTCACGTATTAACTGAAGAACAACTCACAAGACATCGATGAAAGAAATTGAAGAAGGCCAAAATAAATGGAAAGATATTCTGTGTTCATGAATTGGAAGAATATTTTTTAAATGTTCATAGTACCCAAAAAGGCAATTCTTATCAAAATTCCAATGGCATTTTACATAGAAATAGATATTACAATCCTAAAATTAGTATGTAACAACAAAAGACCCAGATAGTTAAAGGAACCTTGAGAAAGAAAAATAAAGTTGGAGGTATCACAATTTCTGATTTTAAGCTTGTTACAAAGGTATATTAATCAAAACAGTATGGTACTGACATAAAACAGACATACAGCCAATAGATGAGAATCAAGAGCCCACAAATAAACCCTCAAGTATACAGTCAACTAATATTTGACACTGAAGCCAAGGCTCAATGGGAAAAGGATCAACTTTCCAACAAATGATATTGGGAAAACTGGATAACAACATATAGAAAAACAAAATTGGACCTCCAAACTTATGCTGCTCACAAATATTACCTTGAAATAGACTAATGACTTAAATATAACACCTGATATGGTAAAACTTTTAAAAGAAAACATGGGTAAGAAGATCTTTGACACCGGCCTTACAATGATTTTATTGGAAATGACACCAAAGTGCAAGAAACGAAAGCAAAGACAGACGAGTGGGACTATATTAAACGAAAAAGCTTCTTCACAAAAGAAACAATCAGCAAAACAGAAATGCAACCTGCAAAATATGGGAGAAAAATCTTCACAAACCATATAGATTGGATAAGGGGTTAATATCCAAAACACAGAAGGAACTCATAACACTAACTATCAAAAAAGTCAATTTGATTTAAAAATGGGCAGAGAACTTGAACAGAAGACATACAAATTGCCAACAAGTACAAAAGATGCTTACTATAATCATCAGGGAAATGCAAATCAACATCACATTGAGACATCACCTCACACCTGTTAGAATGACTATTATCAAAAAGACAAGAAATGATGAATGCTGGTAAGATTGCAGGAAAAAGGGAACACATTCACTATGAATGGGCTTGTGAATTGGCATAGCCACTATGGAAAAAAGCATGGGGGTTTCTCAAAAAATTAAAAAATAAAACTGCCATAGGATCCAGCAATCCCACTTTGGGTATATATCTGAAGGAGAGGAAATCACTATCTTGGCGAGGTATCTGTATCCCCATGTTTACTGCAGCATTACCTTATTTACAACAACCATCACATGCAAACAGCCTAAGTGCCCACCGACAGATGAGTGGGTTAAGAAAATGTGAAAATATATATATATATATATATATATATATATATACTGTATATTATTTAGTCATAAAAAAGGACATCCTGCCTTTTGTGATAGAGACAACCTGAAGGCATTATATTAAGTCAGACAGAGAAAGACAAATACTGTATGATCTTACTTATATGTGGAAACTAAAAAGACTTCTAGAAATATACTTAGAGACTTGTAGAAACAGTGAGTAGAAAGGTTGTCTCCAGGTGCTGAGGAGTGGGGGTGAATTGGGGTGATGCTAGGCAAAGGGTCCAGACTTCCAGTTAGAGGATGAGTAAGTTCTAGGGATCTAATGTACAACATGGTGGCTACAGTTAACAGTATTGTATTAGGTACTTGAAGGTTGTTAAAAAAGTAGATCTTAAATGTTATCACTACACACACACACACACACACACAAAGTAAGGTAATTATGTGAGGGAATATAGGTGTCAGCTAACCTTACTGTTATTATTTTACAATATACACTGATATCAAATCATCACATTGTCATCCTTAAATTTACATAAATTATATACAATCATATCTCAATAAAACTGGGAAAAAAAGAATACCACATATGCTTTTCAGTGTTAGTGAACTCCTGCTCATTCTAATAAAAAGAAGAGCTGGAGCTTAAATGACTTTCAGTTTAATCACAGTATACTCATGTTTCTGAATCACAATTAGGTTCACACACATTTCTCCTATTTGTTTCGGACTATTCAAGTTGAAAATATAAAGGGAGGCTGCACGATTATAGCCCAAATTTATCTGTGCCAAATTGGATGTAGGATAATCTGACCCATTCAAAGACTTCAGCTTCCCAGATCCCATGTGACTTGTTTTGACTACTGGCTGAGCCAGTCTGCAGATTGGTGCGTCACCATGAAACTTCCATTGGAACATTCTTCAGTTTGCAAATGCAAGTCATCTTGAGACCAAACAAATGGTCTTATTTATAGGCCTTCTCAAGCATCCAGCATAAGTAGGGAAAATCCTGTATACCAGATCAGCCTGACTGCACAAAAGACTTGGCAAATGACAGCAGTGTACCTCCTGTTAGGGGTTAATTGGTCAACTTCCTTTCTTTTTAAAAACTAAAAATGCCCTCCTTGAAAACTAGAGTGCCCTTTCCCACTTCATAAAAATAATAAAATACTATATAGCCTATTTCCCTTGAACTTAAAAAAAGAAGGCAAAATGTAAATACCAGGTAGGCTGTTGGAATTTATGAATGTGCCTTTATTCCTGAATTTTCTGGGGGAAATACCTAATATTAATTCACATCGTTTCTTAAAATATTTTTATCAAAAAATCTCCATAAATGTAATGTTAAATATTAGGACTGACTTGTACAAAATACATAAGACACTTTTTGTGATTATTACTTGTGTTGTAACCTATCTTCCTTTGGCTGTGGCCACTGAATTTTGTATAAACAAAATTTGCTAGTGCACTGAACACACATTTATACAACTGGCTTTGTGTGCACATAGTCAATTTGGGGAAAAGGGAGGAGTTTTAAACATTTTGATTCTTAGCAGAGAATTAATCCAGAGAAAAATGTTATTGAACATAATTTATAACTTAGAAGAGGTTTATAGATGACAGGACAGACACGGGGAACTATTTAGCTTGGACAGTCCAGAGATGTCTATGGTCATTATTAGGTGACAAAGTTCTTTGTGAAGAGAATCACTCACTTCTTACTTAAAGAAGTTTCTAAAGCACTTAGGCAATTAGGAGGTGGCTTTGAGATTTGTGTTTGATATGAGAAAAAGTGAGCATTGAGTGTGTTCCTGGCCTTCTCAGTTAATTCTCATTATAAAGGGTATTATTATAAACATTTGATTATGTTTTCCCGCCTTGTGCTGATGACTCACTTTTGTGATTACTAAAGGTATCAACAGCTTCTGATTCCCTGAGAACCTCTCCTTATACTGCTTTCTAATCTCACTATTCAAAAAAGGTAAACAGCTAAAAATTATTGTTGTGGCATTTTCTTAAATTTACTTCTTACATGCCTATGTCAGAGTGAAAAATTTTATCTTAAAATATACAGAACACACTACCACGTAGGCACGTGGTTTCTAACAAAAACAGGTGATAAAACAAATTACATTTTGGGCATCCATGCAAATTTGTAATTACCAGAATTGCTCTGAAATGGTACTGGGAACAGGGGGTGCTATTTTGCAAACTGAGGGAGATACACACAAGAATAACAAAATCTTTCAAAGATCACAGGTTGTAACTATATTAGTTGAAAAACAAAAATAACCTTTTTGGGTTTGATTTTGCATAATTGTTTTTGAAAATCCTGTCAAACATGAATTTTGTTAACTCCTAACATTTGTTACTGTAAATTGTACATGGTTATTTGTCTGTCTATGGGGCTAAAAGAATTCTGGTTCAATATTTTGGGAAGAATTCTGGTTCAATATTTAGAAGCAATAAAATACATCTGTTTTAGAGCAGTGGTTTTCAAACCTGAGCTTACCTCCAAATCACCTAGAGGGCTTGCCACAACCCAAATAGCTGGGTTCCACCACAGAAACTCTGGGGTACGGCCTGAAATTTGCATTTCCAATAAGTTCTCTGGGGCTGCTGCTTAGGGGAATATAATTTGAAAACTACTGCTCTTAGGAAGAAAATATTGGGTGGGTGGATCTTTCAGTGGCTAAAATGCTATATTTCATTCAGGCATCTCAATTTTTCAGATTGGAGTGAATTTGTAGCCAGAGATCTCCAGGAAGTACGTGATTTGCTAATCAAGCTAGCAATTCCTTCCAAATGTGGCATTTGTTTTATTTCCAAGGGATCATTCTAAGCAGTAGTGGTCACAAAGGAAATGGAAGAACTGTATTAGTGTCTCTTAGAAATCATGCCATTGTTTTTTCTTCTTGGGAAAAGTGGGGGTGATTTGATAATTGTCATAAAACTGGCTCTGTACCTTGTTCCTTTTTCAGTTCCTTTAACACTTGAGAATTCACAAAGAATGGGAGAAGAGGAGGGAAGAAACTGGGTTTTAAACTTCTAACTAGCAAG